CCAAGTATAGATTCATATGTTTTAAACTTGTCTTTTTGCACCTGGAAGTAACATATGTGCTACTCCTCATTTCATTCCTCAAACGACAAACATATGTTGGTGTTTATTCCCCTATTTAACTTATTTCTGAATTTATTATTAGGTGACAAGGAGGTTTTATCAAGTGAAATGAACTCTCGCAAGTGCCTTTCTAGACTGCCTGTAGATTTGGGTGTATGGCGTGGCCATGGTTTTCGCTTGAGCTGGGCCCGAGTCTGTCCCATTCCGCGCCAGCCGCTAGTTCTGATAAGTCTTGCATCTGGGCTAAAACAGGAGAAGGATACAATCGCGCCATTGCAAAAACAGCAGAGGCAGACGGTAATTCATGCTGATAAACAATGTTTAGCTGACTCGGCCAACTCGTCTGAGTTCAACCGTACACTCTCGTTTGGCTTTGGCCGATTGGCTTTCAACAGCTGGGCTCAACTCGTTGAGCCTGCTGATGAGGTGAGTTAGTTATCGAGTTGCTTCCACTTTGTCCATGCGCCGTCACATTTCAGCATTTATTTTTCACCACCGATTAATTAATCCTTACTTATACTACATAAAATGCCTATTCTCTAAATATTATGTGATCATTTAGTTCAGCTTAGAGCCACCTCTTTGTCTCTGCTATTTATATCTTCTTTTTTTTATTTATCCTTGTACCTACTACCTAGGTATGTAGGAAAACTGGGTTTCGAAGAATCTCTTAATAGATTGATATTGTAGCACATTTTATTTCATCTGAAGAGGCGAGTAGAAGGGATTCGTAGGTGCCTCGCTGAAAGCTGTAGGAGAATTGCCTTGAAGCTGTGACTAGATTTGTATGAAATCCTCGGCTTACTGCCCTGCGACCCCTAAGAATTCTCGCTGAGCCTTCGTCCGTTGTGGCGGGCTTACATATCCCTTCTGTTCGCATCTTCAAACGAAATGAGATGTACTTTAACATACACTTACTCAGTTCTTTAAATTATTTTTTTAGCTTGTACTTACATTGAAAGCATTATCTAAGAGAATAGTTTCATATATTTGTTCATTAAATATACTTATCTAGAAGGTGCCTTTTAAGGATTTTTTCACTGAGTATTACTTGAATGTATTAGACCTCAATCTTCGACTATTCTATTGATATCATTGTTTCCAGTCCATGTTAGCTTTAACCTACGTCATTCATTGTTTTTTTAAAGCACCTTCTTAACGCTGCTATATCTACCTCAAGCCAAGTTACTCAATCTCAGGCCATTTCGAAGGATATCGAACCCCAGCCAATCAGTCAGGGTCTTATTAACGTCGCTACTCCCCAACTAATGCCTTCTTCTGGTTTGGCCCCATTGCATACTTATTCTCAAGCTCTTGCTGCATATCTCACAATACCTGATGCCCTGCCTTCTGTAACAGCTTCATGTAAGAACTTTGATCTTAATGCATCACATCGTATGCGCATGATTCGACGTCTTCTTAGCCTATGCCAGGCACTCTGGGGAGAACATTTTCATCACGAACGGCAGCAGCAGCACTTACACGACAACCAGATCGTATCTGAAGATGGCAATTCTATGGCTGATTCGCCAGCCAGCCAGCCTGGGGGTGCAACAGGTCCACTTTTCGATTCTGACTTCATTCAGGAAAAAAAAGACACATACAGTGAGATCGGTGATGTTTGCGCTGCTACAACCGGTCCTTTGGACGATTTATCTACTCAATTGAGTAGGGCTCATGTGCAGGATGAGATCGCTAGCAAGTGCGCCCTCCGTCAACTGGTCAGAAAACAAGCACTTTCAGAATGGATCAGGTCAGGAAGTTTGTCTCTTACCTTTATAGACTTTCCCTATCAATCTTTAAATGTATTCGCTCTAACTTTTTGAAGATATTTTTATTACAAATACATATGTCATTGTTTTATTTCTTTCATTTACAAAAACTCTAACATCTACTATCGTATCCTTATTTTAATTTGTAAGCATGTTTCCGATACTACCATGTAGAAAAATTGGGTTACGAAGAATCCCTTAATAGATTGATGTTAGAGCACCTTTTATTGCGTTTAAAGAGGTGAGTGGAAGGGACTCGTAACTTAGCCTTGCCGGGAGCCTATGGGGATTACTTTTGAAGTGTAACCTTAGCTTTGTGCGAATAAGTCTTCGATCCACCAACCTGCAAACCCCGATGAATCTTTGCTATCCTTTCGTCCTTCGTGTGACGTATATCATCACATCAGGACAATATGCTTTACGATAACTCGCTCGTTACTTTAATAAGTTGTAACTCTGTGCTCAAGATGATGCTTCTCAATGACGATGCCGGTGAAACGTTTGTGAATGTACCAAGTCAATGTTCCAATGCTGGAAATCATGATTACTATGGCAAAGGACACAGGTACGTTCTGTCTGGTCTCCCTGACGCTTCGGTCAAATTGTGAAACCAAGGTCGAATCAACACTAAAGATAAAGAAGACTGTGACCAAACAGAAGGCCACATATGGTCTTCATATCAACGATCTCATGTTTTAGTTTAATATCATATGCTTTCTCTATATTCTTGCTGGAAAGTGAAATGGCTGCAAATGAGGCGTGAAATGGATACAATTGTTATCTACTAGCTGTTGCTTCTAAATCGTCTCTGTATTTCGATCCTCAAATGTTGGCGCTTTTGATTTTCTTTCATTAGATGTGTGCTGTGTGCGTGCAATTCTCTTACATTGCGTGAGGTGTGAGAGTTAAAACCGGATTTGAAGCTAATCAATCCTCTTGCTCGGTAGCTTCTCTTGTTCCTTTTGATCTTATTCAAAGACCACAATTAGTTTCTACTTAATTTCCTACATATTCCTTCTTTACAGAGTATTGATTGTTTTGTTGATTTGTATAGATTATCTAATTTTCCATTTACTGGTTGGTATATTCCTCATATCTAGCGTAGCGCCTGGCATTAGACCAGTCTACCTGATGTCCTGTACTAGCTATGTGTTTGGACAACTCGATTTTTGGACACCTATACCTTTACAAGCCGTTTGTGTTCAGATAACCTCTTATGTATGGACCTCCAGATATTTCCCAAATAAGCGATACCACATGACCACACACTTTTATAGCAGCCTGATCTGAGTCAGAATATTCTCGAAAATAAATAATTACTGAGAAAAGTGTTATTTTTTCTCTATAAATACTCCTGATATTTCACTTCTTTAGTAATGCGCATATCTTGAGAGATTATTTATATCATCATAAGGATCCTGGCCTATTATCTAGCCCTAAATATGTATATTCATCCATATTCCAAAATACTTTACAATCAGTCCACATGGAAAATTTTTCTCAACCATAATTTTTCCTGGTCCCAACTACCTTACCTGATGATTTATATCTGCCAGACGCAGGCTACTTAAAATCACACTTACTTTAAACCCTTAAGTATGGTTAGAAGAGA